ACAGAGATGATATTTATATTTTAAATAAGAATTTTAAAATAACTATTTAAAATTCTTAAATATTATTTTTTAATTTATAAATTCAAAACACGAAAATTTCTATCGATCGGTAACGATTTCAGAAAATTTATAAGGAATATATGTATAAAACCAGAAGTTTATTAAATTTCTATTTAAAACTTTGATAATTTACAGGTATTTACACTCGAGTTTTGTTATATCACGGAAGGAAACAAGTGAAAAGTAAACGAACGTCTCTTCAGCATTTTAATCCAGCAGCGGGTGATGTCATCTTCGACGAATCTTTCGCTTTCGCAGTATCGGGACGTTTTTTCGATTCTTGCAGCTTCGAATTCGTAGTAGTGGTTGCAGGACAGAGTCCATTAGTGAAAGACGAGATTCTCGGTCACGTGGTCATAGGCCCATTCATGTACGCAAGAGGAGAACAGTTACTACATTGGCAGGAAATGCTAACCAATCAAAGAAGTCCAGTCACTAAGTGGCACGGATTGGAAGCTATTCTGGAGCCGTAATTTATAATTGATCGGTTATTTAAATAGATAAATATACATATATATATAACACGTGATTTGTTTTCTGATTCTAAAAAAAATGAAGTTATATAAAAAAAGAAAAAGTTGTTAGTTCGTTCGAAAAAAAAAAAAATTTTTCTCAATAAATAATTGTACAAATTTCTTAGAGGAAAAGTAATATATAATATTAGATGTTTAATAATGTTTCTACTATCCAATATTTAATTGAGAGTTGAAAAGATAGATTAGTTGTTTCATAAAATATTACTGTAATAACATGTTCAATTATCTTTCTATGTGATTTATCGGTGCTTGAACTGTGATAAATTTATGATATTTAAATATGTACTTCTATACATTCTACAACTGAAATTTTTTTTAGACTATTCAAAACCCTGTACTTTATTTTAAAAAATATGTAGTTATGATTTTTAACTGTGATCCTTTCTATTTATATATACATAAATATAATGTAAATCTGGTATATTGTACTTCTATTTTCACTGATTTTTTTTTAGAAATTGTTTTCATTCAAATTGTTATAAATAATAATTATTTCACTGGTGTTTGATAATAAAAATATGAAATAAACACGTTATCCTAAAAATATTTATGTTTATATTTATATATATTTTAAATATTTAAAATCGTAAAATTTAAGCCTATATTCATTGTGCTGCCATCTGTTGATTATTTTCGTAGATATATTTAATTTGTTATTTTGAATTTCGCATACAACGTTGAAAGGAATTTATTTAATAAATAACGAAATAAAGCAGCGAATACACTTACTTAATTATAGCAATTTTTACTTTAGAATTGATTTATTTTGACAAATTACTCACATAAATTATAAAATATATAATGACATTTTTTTATACAGAGAATTTTAAACTTGCGCACTTTAAAAAAATAATAATAAATTAAAAATACAAGATTAAAAAAAAAGACTTTTAAGTAAGCTTATTTAATGAAATTTATTTAAGTTTATTTTATTTTCTCAGTTTAATATGAGGCTGGTTTTCACTAAATTAATTTATGTTATTTCATTCTTGCATTTTAAAACATACTAAAACTCATAATTTATATTATTAAAAATCAGAGAATAAATTTTTAAGCTTTTATAACTCCTAATTTAATTTTTACTATTGTATTTATGTTATAATATATTTTTTAAAAAAACACTTATTTCGTATTTTTTCACATAGAATGCGATGGTAAATACAGTCGACCCCCCTATAACACTGTTGATAATTCCGTTTTATATGAATTCCATTTGTACGAGTCACTTAGATTTTACAAATACGTGTGTCGGGCTGTGAACGGCTCACGTATTTGTAAAATCTAAGCGACTCATAAAACATGGAATTCATATAAAACGGAATTATCAACAGTGTTATAGGGGGGGTCAACTGTAAAACGAATTGCTGTCGAGAATTATGAGATCAAAATGAAAATCTGGACAGAATTCTTCACCAAAGGAATATCTTCCAGTCTTTAAGGTAAAGCCACACAAAAGTACGCATTTTTTGCTATTTTTCTTTATTAATATTCTACTGTGAGGATAAATTTGGATTTGATACTATCAATTAAAACGTTCTTAATCTAATAACGTTTAGAAAAGTCAAAAAGAAATGCCTTGAAAAGACTGGGAGATAAAAAGAAAAACCTTTGTAAAGTGCGTTACAAATGGGATTGATACTGTAAGAGTATGCACCTTTTATAAATAATTCGTAAGGTGTAATTCACTCGTTTTTATAACGCTGTTATGTGATAACAGGAAAAATAGTTTTCTCACTTGTCAGATAAATTATTTTTATTTCTTTTACATTAATTAAAAAAACACGTGCTTTACAGCAATCTGATACTTCCAAATTTTCTAATTACTAGATCAGAAAATTTGGAAGAATCAGGTAGCAAGCCATTATCCTTATGAAATAATGTGATTGATATATTATGAAACATGATTATTTGGTGTGATACTGGTTTAGATAATAAGAATAATTTAATAAATAATTATTTAAATTATGGATTTTATTGATTTCAGTTAAATATTTTATATTAAAAGAAAATTATTGAGATGAACTGGTATGGAAACAAATAGGAATCAAAATAAATTCTAATTTATAGAATTATCTGGTTTTATATTAAAGTTAAACATTATTGATGGAGAACAAATTTCTGAACAATTCAATTCTATAATATAATTTTAAATTATCTCTTTCTTTTAAGCAATTTTTTTTTAGCTTCCTGAATTTTTATTTCGTAAAAAAATAGTTTTCTGATGCTTTTTCTCTTAAAACCTCATATTTTAAGAGCTGAAAACAAACACTTTTAGACGTAACACGTTTCTCAATGATGCCTAAGAGTACGAGCATACTCTCGAATGAATCTGTTCTTAATTGTGAAAAAAAAATCCAGCAACGAGTTGCTTAACTTTCCTTACATTTAAAACTGCGTTTGTGGCGCTATCTGTTATGATATTTTATTATTAAAAACTTTTTATATTTTCAATTATCTAAAATTGCGTTAAAAACGTCCTCGTCTACTTTTTCTAATTTCAATCAAAAATTCATGTAAGACACACAAAAAAAAAAAACAAAAAAAAATTATTCTTCTCAATTGTAGAAATCCAGAATTTGTAACTTCCTACTGAAATGTAATTTTATCTCTTCTATTAAAAATTGTAATATTCTTTCTTTGTAATGATTAAGTTAATTTCATTGCACTTTGTAAAAATATCTACCAGATATGCAAGATCATCAACCACGAAGAATTTGTTTAAAATTTTGTTCTGAAAGGTACGGCAAAGCAACACTTGGGAGATCTGCCCAGGGGATGCCTTCCGGGATGTAAGGATGACTAGTCTCTATTTAGGCGTTAAAAACGTGGAGAAAATTCGAAAAACTCCACGTGGCCAGCCCGTCCTGGAGAGGCGCACACTGTTAGTGTTCAGGGAATGGAACTGCTTGGCCACTGGTAGACCAGTATTATTTGGTAATTGTACTGTATTTATTTTTTTTTTTTAGCAATCTACTCGTTTAAAATAGATGATACAATGTGTTTTACACAAGATTTAATTTAGTATCTTCAATTGTATGGCTTACCGGTCGCCGAGTGGATAAAATCACTGAACATTGGTAGTTTCTCGCGGGTTCACGCCTCGCCAACAGGCTGGCACGTTGAGTTTTCTGTTTTCTTTACATTTGTAACGCCTAAATAGCGCCAATTTCCCATTGAAAGTTCTCCCGGGAGGCATCTCTCCTTCGGCAGAGTGTCGCATTGTCGTGTATGAACTACATTTGGATTAGTTGGATTAAACCAATCCAATTGTATGAGCTTCACGATTAAGTGCAATGCGGTAACTCACGCGGAAAGATGCCTCTATTACAATTTTAGTTATATCAATTTAAAGTTTATATTTTTCTAGCGAGTCGCGTCGTCTTAAAAAACAATTTTAATATTTTTTTCTGTAGTATTTAGCGTGTTTCATTTCGAAATGTCTACAAAGTTTACTGGAGCTTAAAAAACTGTTTGATAGTATTTTATTACATAAAACACACATTGCTCCTGACGCAATGTGTGTTTTATGTGTATTGACAACACACACATAAATCCAAATATAAATAACTTTCATCGTACTTCAGATTTGATCTGTTCTTAGATGGCACTTGTTCTTTAATATTAGATTTTGAAGAAACCACAGCTTACAAGACAATTTCTTCTCCAATCGTAGATGTGTCACCAAAAGTAGGCCTATTTATCTCTCCTTATGACTCACGTTTCCTAGAATGCATACCTCCTTACTTCAGTCGCGCTCGGAGTTGTCGACAACTGCAGGCGTCTGAGTCAAGACCAGAGAACTCTGGTCTTAATGGCTCAAATTTATGAAACAAGATAAAATTTAATGTATATAACAGTATGAAAATTCTACAACAAAGTGATCAGGGAAAGCTCAATGTACTGGTAAGATTTGAAGCAAATTATATAGGAGAATATATGAACCCAAATCAATGATATCTGCAACACAACATAATACAGTACTATAATGTGAAAAGATGAATTGGCATCAACTAATTAATATTTTTAATAAAAGTTTTGTGATTTATATATCATAACAATAACTGATTCAAAAGTATCCAAAGAGAGAAAGGCTAACTCAAAAATTAAAAATATATGAATAATGGATATGTACAATACCTTTTATTAATATTTGCCCGACTACTGTATGACAGATGATCCGATAAACCATATTTGCCATCATAAATGTTTTTAAATCAACGTTTTGAAGTACGAACAAATAAATTTTAATGTGTTTTGTGTCAATGGGGAGGCTTAAGACCCTGTTGCCATCGCCTCGTATCCGTCACTGGATCATAATTAATGAAATATAAATGCAAAAACTGAAATACAAAATATTTATCGTTAGAACGAACAAGTAATTCCTAATTTAGTCTGATCAAACATTTTGTGGTGTATTCTAAAAAAGTTGTTTAACACGATTAAAGTAGGTAGCATTCAATGGGTGTAAAAATTATAGCTTTATAAATACGAGTATAATGTTTGCGGTGGTGTACAAGAGCTACGAAATAATTAATGAAATTCGGGAAATACAAATGAATAACTTTACGCTATTCACTTGTATTTCCGAATCCGATATTCATACGTAACGTTTATTAATAAATATCGAAATTATAACAAACAGTAACAGCTGGCTTTTTTACATCTTACATGTTCAGCCCATCCCTCATCATTCTGCATCCTCTTTTGTAGGACTGGACGAATTCACAATGGATAAAAATGCCCTCTTAGTGTCTACAGGATGGAGAGTATACCGTGTTTATTGTGAATTCACAGATATTATTTATATTCATATATTCTATAAATATTTAAAAAGTAAAAAATTACAAGATTCTTAATTTTATTTTTTAGTTCAGTTTTATAAATTAGATAAGATTAAGATTCAATGACGATTTAAATGATTTTTATTCGATTTATCGAGATTCTTTTACATATTTCAATCTTGTTTACATAAATTTTCTCTTGTTTTTACATATTTAAACTTGTTAAAACACTTTTAAAAAGTCAGTGTCTGAAATAAAAATAATTGAATGTTTTTTGAATGGCAAATTATATAACTTAAAATATTCTAATAAGTTTTTACAATATGTTTTTAGATTTACTGTCATTTTAATTCTATATAAATATTGGGTTAATGATTATTTACAATATTGTACTATGAAAGAAAGTATTTAGGAATTTAGGAATTTCAACAAATTCCAAAAAATTCCAGAATAAAATTTATTTAATAATATTCAATATTATTCTATAATATATTTTAAATTTGAAAAACGCATTTGAATTGTTATTATTAGGTATTAACTACTAAAGAAGTTTAAAAACATCAATAATAAAAGAAATACAGTGTAGTATTTTATAGAAAATATAAGTACATGGTGTCGTTCTCAGGCTTGCTTCAAGTACCAAAATCATTCCCAGT